CTTCTAGGTCTGTGATGCCCAACACAGTGTGACCTGTGGTTATACTGCATTGCTTAGGGAATCATGACACACAGTCCGTCCGTGTCTGGGGAAGACGCATTGCTTTGCTGAAAACATTAAGGCCACGCCCGGTCAAGTCCCGGAGTGCAGAACCCACAGACACAGAAAGCAGACTGTGTGTTAGAATCTGACCGCTTCTTGGCCTTCTTCAGTGCTGCCGCCTTACCGTGGGCTCCTGGCACTGTCCATCTCCTTCTGCTTCTCATATTCCTGTCCACCACAGCCTGTTCCCCTACTCAGCCCAAATGCTCTTGTTGTGACTCTGCTCGGATCTCTGTACTTCTGATCAATCCTCAGTGGTCCCAGAGATCTGTGAGCACCATTGAGATGTCTGGGAGGCCCCACCAAGGTCACTAGCACCTGCCCGTCACCACACTGGGTCCCTGGCTGGTCCAAGGACACCTGTGGCCCTGCCACCTTCAGGGCCTTTGCAGTTGCTGTTTAATACTGTGGCATAGCATGCTGCTTTAGGCACCCATGTTCCCTTTGCTTGCTAAGTGTCACCCCAAAGGGAGGCCTTTTATGACCCCCCCTTGACTGTAACCCCATGCATCTGGGCCCCATAAGTCCGCAGGTCCTCTTGTGTGCTAATGCCCCAGGAAGCTATGTTTGATTTAGTGCTTACAGACAGTCTTTCTCAGTGGCACCTGCAGAAGAGGAAAGGTCATACCAGTCTAGAACAGTTCTTGGTATATAATAGGTGCTCAGTAAAAATGCCTGTGACCTAGAGTTAGGCAAGAGAAAGCAATCAGAAGCATGTAAATAGGAAGGGAAAAGGTCAGACTGCCCATTCGCAAGTTATGTGATCCTATACTTGGCAGACCCTACAGATTCTGCCCAAAGACTTCTATGGTGATAAACTCAAAGTAGCAGCATATATACAATGAAAATAAAATTAATCACTTTTTATACACCAATAAGACTTGAGAAAGGAATCAGCAAAATGGTTTTATTCATGATGACTTAAAAAAGTACCTAGGGATCAGTTTGACTAATGAGGTAAAAGACTTTTACAGTGAAAATTGTACAGAACATCAAAGAAAGACATTGAAGACCTTAGAAGGGCCTTCTGTGTTCATGGATTGGCAGAATCAGTATTGTTAAAATGGCCATAATAGTCCAAAACACCTACAGATTCGGGGTGATCCCCCTCACAATGCTAGCAGCACGCTTCCCAAAGTTAGAAGAGACATTCTGAAGTTCACATGGAAACGTAAATGACTCAGAATGGCCACAGCAGTCCTAAGCACTAAGGGCAGTGCTGACACATCCCGATATTTGGTTTCAAATTATGCTGCTGTGGAGCCATAGTAACAAAAACAGCATGGTACTGGCCCAAAGACAGGCATGTGGGCCAGTGACCGCCACCCAGTTCTGGACAAAGGAACCAAGAATACATGCTGGAAAAAAAGACACCCTCTTTAACAAATGGTTCTGGGAAAAGTGGATACCCACCTGTGGAAGATGGGGACTAGATTCCTCTCTCTCTCTCTACAAAAGTCAACTCAAAATGGGTCAGGAAGCTAGGAGTGAGACATCAGTCTTCCAAACTGCCAAAAGAAAATGTAGGGAAACACTTGAAGCTATAGACACAGGCAGAGACTTCCTGAGTAGAACTCCGGCAGGATTGACAAAGCAAATTAAAAAGTTTCTGCACAGCAAGGGAAACAGTAATGAGAGTGAAGATTCATCCCACGGTGTGGGAGAAACTCTTTGCCATCTACTCATCCAACACAGGCTTATTATCTGCCATATAAAGAACTCAGGAAACAATATCAAAAACAGTCAAATAGCCCAGTCGATAAATGGGCACACGCTTTGAACAGATACTTCCCAGAGGACATACAAACAGCCAATGGGCGTGTGGAAAAGCATCCAACATCGTTAGCCATTGGGGAAATGCAAATCAGAACAACACTGAGATTCCGTCTCGCCCCAGTCAGAATGGCTGTCACCAAGAAAACAATAAATGCTCGTGAGGGTGTGGGAGAAGGAACGCTTTTCCACTGATGCCGGGAATGTAAATTAGTGCGGCCACTGTGGAAATCAGTGTGAGGTTCTTCAAAAGATTAGAAAGAGGACTGCCATGTGATGCAGCTATGCCGAGCCTTGGTATACACCTAAAGGAATCCAAGTCGGCATTGCGTAGGAAGACTTGCATATTGGTGTTTGCTGTGGTGCGATTCATGGTAGCCAAGATAGGAAGCCAGCCTAGGTGCCCACCGCAGATGCATGGATAAAGAAAATTTATATATACCCAGCGGAGGGTTGTTCAGCCACAAGAGAGTGCAATTTTATGATTTGCAGAAAAATGAATGGACCTGGCGGTGGTCTTGTTGAGCAAAAGAAGCCAGACTCAGATCTCACGTGTGCTTTAATAGGTGGAATCTACAAAAGGGGACAGGAATGTAGGAGAGAGACTACTATTAGACAAGAGGAGAGGAACAGGGGGGGAAGGGGTGTCAGAGCAGATAGTAGGGGGCCCGAGTGTGATCATAGTGCATTATACACACGGAACTCCCGAGCACGTGAGACTAGAGGGTGGAGTTGGGGTGAGGGGGTGGTGGAGGGGAATGATTGAAGCCTGCTGGTGTGTGTGCACGTCTGCAAAGGAGACCCGGTCATCTGTATAACCAGTATGCATGACACAAAAGGGGAAAAGATGCGGATGGCATCTCTGCCTGGCGCTGGCTCCCCGGGACCATCCCCGGGGTCTGGGAAGGGAGGGCCTTGCCTGTACCCTGGAGCTCCCTGGCTGGGTCCTTTGGGCCACCAGCCTGGACACTCCACCTTCCGCCTCCCCAAGTGAGGTCTTGATTGGCAGCCACAGTGGGGATCACTGGCCAGTGTCTCCCGAGACACTGTGTGTCAGGGCAGGGACGCCTTTGTCAGTCTCCATCAGTTACTGGCCTTGTGGTCAGAGGAGGGTGGTGGTGGCAGAGCTGCTTCCGGGCATGTCATCCAGGCCTCCAGTTTCCCATCACCGAGGCTGATCCAGTGTCAGCACTCCATCAGTCAGCCTGCCAGCAGGCCGGGGAGCCGAGTTCTGCCAAGCTCTGATGTCAGGGCTCGTTACAGGTGGGGAGACCTAATCTAATCCCTGCCTGCTGACAGCCGGGAGCCAGCGCCAGGGCCTGACAGTGGCTGTCATGCTCAACAGTGAGCGGCAGTGGCAGTGGCCACCCACAAATGGGAGCAGAGCCTGTTGCTCATGCTGGCGGGTGACAGCCCCGGGCATAGCTTTGGGGCAGAGCTACCTCCCTGCAGGGCTCCCTGCTGGGCCTTCAGTCTGCTGGCCATGGGACATCTTGAATCCTGTAAGCTGCTTCCACGAACCTCTCTTGGGTGTCCCCACATTCACTGGGGTTTCCCTTGAACAAACTTTGCTGAGGGTACAATTCACTCTAAAAGCCACAAGTTGCAGTTGAGCCTGGTGGCTCACACCTGTAATCGCAGCTGTTCAGGAAAGTTACACTGTGAGTCCAGCCTGGGCAGCTTGGGTAGACACAGCCTCCAAATCAGAAACAAGGCTGAGGTCCTGCTCAGCACAGCACTTGCCTCACACATCAGGGACTCCAAGTTCTGTTCCCAGCACTGCAGTAGCCACAAACAAACAACAGAGTGTGGATCTGAGTTTTGAGAAGCGCTGCACGTACCCACCGTCAAGACCCAGCGCGGTTCTTTGCCCCCCATTCTGCGGTCACTCCTGAGGTCAGCTTCTCTCAGCACCCCTGGCTGTTCCTCATTTCTAGAATGTCACCTAAATGGAACCACATACTCTGTGTCTGGGGACATCTGGCTTCGTTCACTCAGCTCCTTACCTCAGAGACTTCGCTGTGACATGATATGCATCAGCACTAGGTTGCTTTTTACTGCTAATAGTCCACTGAGTGCAAGTTGGCTTATCGGTTCCTAATTGGAAGGTAGTTGGGTTACTTCTGGCTGGGGGAATTATGAACAAAGCTACTACAAAGTCCATGAACATAAGTCTTCATTTCTCTTGAGTGAATACCTGGGGTGGAAATGTTGGGTCACACGGTAGGTGCATGGTTGGCTTTTTAAGGGCCCACCACACCATTCCCCAAAGTGGCAGTACTATATTCTGCTCCCGCTAGCACTGCTGGGCTTTTCTGGTTCCCCACCCTCCTCACCAGCACTTGGAGTGGCCAGTCTTCAATTTCAGCCTGTCCACCGGTGCCTGGAGTATAGAGCCTTTCCCTGCTAGCGAAAGATGTTCAACGTCTCATGTGCTTACTTACCGTCTGCGGACTGATGATGTGACTCTTTAACCCACTTTCAAAATTGGGCTGTTTGCTCTTGTTGAGTTTCAAGAGTTCTTTCTAGTTTGGGAGCAAGCTTTTTATCAGATGTATGATCCATAAATATCTCCTTTTATGAAAAGAGAACATCTTTTCGCTCTCTGAACAGTGCCTTCAAAAGGCAAAAAGTTCTTGAGTTTGACAAAGTCCAATTTATCAGTTTGGTCTTGTATGCATCAGGCTTCTGTGTTTGAGAAAACTTGACCTCTCTAAGGTCACAGTGATTTTTCTCCTGTGTTTTCTTTTATTATATAGTTTAGTAGTTGGGGTTTTATATAGGGTGTTATGACCCATTTGAGTTCTTTTTAAATTTTTTTAAAGTGGTCCTGAGGACTGAATTTTAGGGCATTTGCACTAAATTACTTCCCAAGCCCTTTGTAATTTTTAAATTTTGTGCAGGGTCTTGCCGAGTTGCTCAGGCTGGGATCCGACTTGCATCCTCCTGCCTCAGCTTTACAGAGTGCTGGGATTACGGGTGTGCACCACTGTGCCTGGTTTTGAGTTCATGTTTTACAAGCTGTCATCTGTGGACTAATGGTGTGGTTCTTCTCATGCGGATGTTCACTTGGCCCTGCCACTGATCCTAAAGACTGTCCCCCGCTGCCTCCCACAGTTCTCGTCAGAGGTCAGCTGGCCTCTGGATTCCCCACTCTGTGCCGTGGGTCTCAGTGACTGTCCTGCACTGGTAACTGCCCTGGCCACTGCAGTTTCCTTGTGAACCTGGAAATCAGGCCGAGGTGACACCCGCTCTCTGAGCATGGTCTGCCGCCCTCACTGTGTTCCAGATCCAGAAAGTGGCTGCACCAGGTGGGTGTCTCGCTTACAGCTGCGCTGCCGGAGCCCATCTGGGGTCTGTGCTCGGCGTCTGGCCTTGGGAGTCTGGTTTGGGTTTAACTCCTGACCCTTGTTTTGTCAGCCGTTAAGCCTGGGAGAGTAACTTCACCGCTCTGTGCCTCTGTTTCCCTGCCCGCAAAGCTGGTGTAAGGATAGTAGATAGAGAGAGATGGAGAGAATCCTTGCTTCCGATGAAAACAGGAGGCGGCTGGTGTTTGAGCGCATCTGGCCATCAGACATGGCACTTTCACAGAGTGCCTGGTGATCAGATGCTCCTCACAGCACTGAGTAGAGGGGACGGGTTCTAGAAATGCTGCTGCAGCCATCACCATGGCCATCCCCACTGTCGCTGCTCCTGTCCCTGTGTCGCTGTGGTATTGCTGTCATTGAAGCCGCTGGCTCTGGAGGCTGCTGTTGCATGTTCCTGTGCAGCCGAGCAGGCAGCCCATGCGTGTCAAGTACTTGCTGTGGGACAGGCTTCCTGCCGCGTCTGCAGTAAGTAATCAGAGCCAGGCTGCAGTATCATGGTCCACACGTGCCTGCATGGGACAGGTGTGTGCACAGTGTGACGGAAGCTGCATGGTGGGCAGGACAGACAGGGCACACTAGGTGGGCCTCGGGCTGCTGGGGACTTCCAGATCGGGTGAATGTGCCAGGCTCGGGTTGCAGTTTGTATAGAGACCTGGAAGGGGGACGGGACACTTGCAGGGGGCTGGAATTGTCCCTGGGTGTAGGGCAGGAAGCAGCCCTGGCAGCCAGGAATGGCCACGAGGAACCCACCCTTTCCTTGCACAGGTGGCACTAGGTTACCAACGCCCTTGGGGACCCGTGTGGAGCCCTCCCACCTCTGCCTCGGCCATGGCCACCAAAACTATCATCATTGACCACGGGTCTGGCTTTCTGAAGGCGGGCCTGTCAGGCTGGAACCAGCCCCAGCTGATCTGTCCGAGCGTGGTGAACTACATCCCCTGCAGGGAGAACCCCGGCCCCAGCTACGCCCACAGACAGGTGAGCCTGGGCATCGACCTCTGCAACCCCGACACCTTCAGCTACCCCATCCAGCGCGGCCGCGTCATCAACTGGGAAGGGGTGGAGCACATCTGGAACTTCATGCTACAGCACTACCGGGAGGACCACGAGGACTGTCCTGTGATCCTCACCGAGTTCCCGCTGAAGGAGCCTGCGACCCGCAAGAAGACCCTGGAGGTGAGGAGGTGGGGGTGGCTGGCACCGTGTGCCCGCACGATCGGGCTTTTCGGTAACTGTTGGATGTTTACAGAGGACATAGCGTAGGGCTGGCGTGGTGCTAGGCTGCCGGACACAGACAGGAAATTAAAGCACTCAGTGGAAAGGAAGGTTGCTGGATGTTTGTTCATAGTTCCCACAAGTACTCACTGACTATGTCCTGGTCCTCCCAGGACTTGCATTCGGGGGCAGATTTAACCTCAAAGAAGTTAACAGATGAGAATTCCAGAGAGTGAGCAGTTCTAGATGACTGACTGGTGGAGAGGGTGAACCGGGAAGGCTCCTTGGAGGAGGTGATTTCAGCCAGTGACACTGACGCCCAGTGACTTGGGGGCTGAGGTGGCCAGAGGCAAGTAGTGTGATAAAGCTGGACTTTACAGGCCTTCTAGGATGCAGAGACACTCTGAACAGTTGGCAAACCAGCCTGAGCCAGTGAGCCAAATCTGGCCCACCACTTGTTTTTGCAAATAAAGTTATATTGGCACACAGCCACTCCCACTCATTTATATCGTAGCTGTGGCTGCTTCTGTATGGGGACAGCAGAGCTGAGTGACAGAGACCGTCTGGCTCATAAAATCTAAAGTATTTACTGTTGAGGGCTTTCTAAATGAAATACCTGATGCCTAGTTAGATTGACTGTTAAATAAATATCAGATAACATGTTAGTGTGAGTTTGTTCCACATGGTGCACGACGCATGCATATGCTCAAATACTTGCTGTTTCACTGAAATTCAGACTCAGCAGGGACACCCCGTATACAGAGCTCAGTGACACCTGGACTGTGGAGCCTGTTAAGGAAGGTGCCGGACAGCCCCGCCCTGCAGGACCGGAAGCTCTTGGAGAGCTGTCAGGGGGCTTTTCTGTGTGATAAAGAGGACTTTGGCTGCTGTTTTGCATGGATGGTGGGGTGGGGGGTAATGTAGGGTGGGAATGGAGGGAGCCCTCCCACTGCGGGAAGATGGGGCTGCTGGACCGAAAGCAGGACGGGAAGCGGGAGGAGGAGGCCAGAGATGGAGAGGACGCTGCAGGCTCTCCGCACCTCTGGGGTCTGGAGCGTGGGCATGTGCCTGGAGGTGGGGGCTGGCGAGGGGACTCTGTAGGGGTCCATGGGATGGGGCAGTGGGCAGAAGAGAAAATGGGCCCAGGGACCTTGCTAAATCCTGATTATAAAAATTCCAATTTTGTTGTGACGTTTGGTGAGTTTTATCAAGAGCATGCACAGCTTCCCCTACCAGGCAGCGAGTGTGTTTTCTTTTTCTTGTTCTCCCTGCACAGTGACTTGTGGCACCTTTCCCCCTTCTCCCTTTTCCTCTGTACAGGGGATTGGGCACAGCCCTTTCCACTGAGCCTTATCCCTGGCCTCTCTTATTTTGAGAGTATCACTAAGTTACGCAGGCCGGATTCAAAATCGTGATGCTCCCACCTCAGCCTCCCAGAGCGCCAGGATTACAGGCGCACTCCCCCACACCCAGCTCACTCCCTTCTTTTCTGTGCTCTTCTTTCTTCTTCTAAAGAGACAGTGGAGGCTGTGTCTCTGACCTGGGCCTTCTGTCCACTTCCTCTCACTGCCCACACAGCAAGAATCCCCGCTCTGTTTCTGTACCCGCTGAGTCTTCCCACGGTACCATCAGCAAAAGAAATAACCAGCTAAGCTCCGAGGGTGCCTTCAGGTTATGTTCTGAGTCCTCTGGAGCCCTCCCTGGTTCCCACAGCATGCGTGCCCAGGGTCCTGAGCCGAGCGTCCCATGGGGAGCCCGAGAGTCCCTGGGCACACAGCTGTGCACCTCTTCGGTTTGAGAGCAGAGTCTGTGTCTTGGTTGTGAGAGAAATAGAAACGGATTAGAGTCCAGGGTTGGGGAAAAATATACCGAGTGTCCCCTCCCTGTCGCAGATCATGTTCGAGCTCCAGGAAGTGCCTTCCCTGCTCCTGGCCGACCAGCTGGAGATGTCCCTGTACGCCTCGGGGTGCCTAACTGGCGTGGTGATTGACTCGGGCTTCGGCCTGACCCGCATGCAGCCCTTCCTCCTGGGCCAGCCCCTGCCCGACAGCCAGAGGGCTGTGGAGTTCGCCGGCCAGGACCTCTCCACCTACCTCTTCAAAAGCATCTTTAAGGAACGGAGTGACGAGCACAACCTTTACCAGATGGACACGGTGGCCACGACACAGATGAGCAAGTGTTACGTACCGACGAATCTGGAGGAGGCGCTGGAATTCCACCAGAACCTGCCCAGCGGCTCCGACGAGAGCAACACCTACCAGCTCCCAGATGGCACCCGAGTGGAGCTGGCACCCCTGGAGCGGCTGGCGCCTGAGATGTTCTTCAGCCCGCAGGTGTTCGGCCTGCAGGGCCCCAGCATCTCCCAGGTCCTGGTGGATTCCATCAAGTCCTGTGAGGTCCCCGGGCAGCCGATGCTGCTGTCCCACGTGGTGCCGTGTGGTGGAAACAGCCTGTACCCTGGCTTTACCAAGCGCCTGTGGATGGAGCTGAACTCGGGTCATTTCCCTTTCAAGGCCACCGTATGGATGGGCGAGAAAAGGCACTTCAGTGTGTGGCTGGGTGCCTCCGTGGTGGCCCACCTTTCTACCTACAAGTCCCAGTGGGTGGCCAGGCAGGAATATCTGGAAAGCATGAGGCTGTGATGGGCTGGCTGGCTCCCCGGAACAGACTCCTGTCATGTGAGCCCCGGGGATTACTTTTAGACAGGGAGTGGGGTTGCTGCTGGTTGTGGAGTCAGGAGGGCCAGCGGCATTGTTTTAGGGTCAGAGGTTACAGCTTGTGCCAAGCGTGGGATCCAAGCCCAGGGCGGACCAGTGTCATCCCTGGAATCCCCTCAGAGTCAGCACTCTCAGGAGGCCTCACGAGGTGACAGTGGCCAGCTGTCACCTCCCTGGCTGTCAGCTACTTAGCTTTCACAGCCCGTCTCTCTTGGGCTGTCTCATCCTTGGTCATTTGGGTTTTAACTGGGGAAGAGAACGGGACCTTTTTCAAGAGTCCCGATTATTTTTGATTGGGAGTTGAGAGGGTGGGGGAAGGTTGAGGTTTCTAGTCTCGTAGACCCTTCGTGGCCAGGGAGACCCTTCGGAGGAACTAGGGTACCTTCCCACCCATGAGGGCTGTGTTTTATGTGTGCAAATAAACTTCTCATTGAGAACTGGTCTCGGTTTCTGTGGCAGCCTGGGCGGGGGATGGCAGCCCCCTGCGGACGGCCAGGAGCCTGGTGACAGCCTGCGCCCAGCGGTCACCACCAGGCAGACTGCATATGGTCACTCATGCTGCCTTTCTGTCACCACCTTCCCTCCGTTTGTCCTAGATGTTCAGACAAGCTTGATTTCTCACCAGTATGCATCGGACAAATACTTAGATACCGATATGTTCTAGGCACTGGAGATTTCGTGCTGGAAGAGATTTGTGAAATTTGTCTGCTGGAGTACAGTCCCCTGAGGGACACAGAATGAAATACAATCGTCCTGCAAAGACCTGGGAATGGGGTCCTGGACCTCCATGGCTACCAAAATCTAAGACGCTCAAATGCCTTGTATAAGACGGTGTAGGAGTTGCATAGTTGCTCCTGTATCTTTTAAACAATCTCTAGATTACTTCCAATACCTAAATGATGTGAATAGCTGTAAATAGTTGTCACATTGTTTAGGAAAAACGAAGGAAGAGAGTCCGTGTGCGTTCGGTGCAGAAGCAGTGTCTAAAAGTTCTCTCAGTCTGCCATGGTTTGAGTCTGCACGTGGGCCCCGGGGCTGTGGACGCTGAAGGTGTGTCTCAGAGGGGTGAACAGAGCCTGGAGCAAGGTGCCATATCTGGGCGGAGAGGGGCGTCCGGGCCATCAGTGATAGAGTCCTCTCCTTCCCTGGTGTGTGCCGAGACTCCACTGCCAAGGCCCTGGCCGTTAGGAAGGGTGTTGGTGAGCTCTGGCCCACCCTGTGCGGCCCAGACCCCTAGCATCTCCACAGCTGATCTGTAGGCTGAGGAAGACCCGGTGGGGCTCAGAAGGCTTAGGGCCCACAGTGCTGCCGATGGACGGAGCCTGACCTTGACCCTGCTCACCTGCCCCAGACCATGCTTGGCCACTGAGAGGTGGCAAGGAGTCGGGCCTGTTTGTTATAGCGGCTGATTTGCTTATCCTGACTAACACACAGAGAGGAGCCATCCCGTTTACAGATGTGCCGTAAAGTGGCAGGATTGAAATTCAAATCCAGGTATCCGAGCCAGGCTTGAGCTGCAGGATGGCTTTGTCCGCAGCTGAGCCACCTGGCCAGGTCTTTGGGGTACAGCAAGGAGTGAGCTTTCCTTCCTTTAGGAGCTTGGAGTGGAGCCTGTGCTAGGAGGAGCAGGGAGACCTCGCTTTGCTGACCCAGCAATGCTGCTGAGACAGGGAAGGTGGCCTCAGATTTTACAGCCTGTCCTCACCCTGCTGCTAATCAGGACTGTTAATAGGAGCAGTGACTTCATCCTGTCAGGGCGGGGAGTGCCCTGCAAATGGAGCCACATTTAATCTTCACACAAGCACTATGAGATGAGAGGTATCTGTCCCCATCTGTAAATAAGAAAGCCAAGCCTTAGAGATGGCTGCCACTTACAAGTTCCCTGTTAAGCTTGGCCTAACTGTGAATCGTCAGGACAAAATTCAGTTGTCTCAGACACCTAGACTAAAAGTGGCCGATACAGATAGAGATTTATTTAACAGATAAGCAGCCCAGGGGAACAATAATGTGTCTACATCATCCAGGACTCTTTCTGTCTTTTAATTTTTCCACTTTTAGCATATACATGGGTTGGGATATGGTCACAAAATGGCTGTGGTGGTGCCAGACATCACACTCAAATTCCCTGAAGAAAATGAAAGGTGGAGGGAGTGTGCTGTGTCTCTCTATATATTAGGAGAGTATTACCCGGAAGACTTGTGTTTATGTCTTACTACTTATAGGTAGAAAGTAATATGAAAGAAGAGATCCATAGGTATTTGCTGAGCTGACCCACAGTGCTTGTTCCTTGGCAAGAGGAGTGCTTTGAACTTAGCTCTGCAAGTACTGTGTTTGATCCAGGGGGCCAGGCTTGCCTCCCAGCCTTCTGGGCCCTGGACGCCCAGGCCTGAGAGATGTGGATGTGTGGTTTTTTCTGGGGCTTGAGTGCAAATCACTTCAGGCTGGCAGCCAAAGCACCAGTATGATGAGCAGAACTCTGTGCTTGAGAGCTGGTGTGTTCGTGCAGCCGGAGCCCAGAAGGTGGAAGAGGGAGACTCGGAAACAGGTCGTGGGAGAGGGGCCTGGAGAGGAGGTGGGCGGGGGGTATTTCCCTCCTGATGTAGGTCTGGCGACTGTCATCACAGCTCTGTGCTCATTTCATTCCGAACATAGCCTCTCACCTTTCCTCTGGAGCGTCAGACCTGCCTGCCTGGTGTGTAATTACAAACTTTGCTTTGCTCCCCGCCCCCACCCGGAAAGCTTTTAAACCTCTCTCACTGGATGCTGGTACCGTCCCTCCTCCACTCTCCAGTTAGGTTAAAAATAGCAGCTTGGCGGGGCTACATGGGGCCATCACCCTGGTGTGGAGCTGCCACGCTCCAGGCCTGGTGGGGTGGCCTCTGGTGCCCAGAAGATGCCAGCGAGCTCCGCTGTGGCCTGGCAGCTGCTCAGAGCTGGGGGGGGGGGCTTCCGCTCCAGGAGGGGTCTAGGGCTGCCTGCCAGGGTGGCCAGGTGCAGGGAGTGGAGCCAGCGTCTTGGCAGCTGGGCGGGAGCTGGGTGGGGCTGGCAGAGGGGACAAAAGGAAAGGCCCCAGGCGAGCTGTCACTGATCAGGGGCAGGCAGCATTCTTGGCTTCCGGTGCCAAGGCTGGAACCTGGCACCCTTGCATTTGGCTCGATGTGAGGTCTGGATGCCCAAGTTCCCTGACATAACCCCGGCAGAAGCCCTGGGAAGGATGCCCCTCCCTCTCTGGAGGAAAGGTTCATGGTCCTGCCCACCACCGGGGTCTCCTCCCATTGGAGAAGTAGATGGTACATTGGATGAGGGTGTGGACTTGAGGCCAGACTGCCTGGAGTGGAGTGAAATCTGCCCTGCCACTTTCTGGCTATGCTGACCTTTCCCGGGGCCTCAGTTTCCCCATCTGTAACCAGGGTGTACTAAGGATGCCTAGCTGGGGGTGGTTTCTGTCATTCCCATGGGACTTTACGAGGTTAACATCTATAAGGCACTTAGCAAGTACCGGGTGTCCAAGAGTGTGCAGCTTCCTGTCTGCTTGCTCGGGACAGACTGGAGCCAGGGATGTAAACGGGTACGATGTCAAAGTGCTGCTCTGTCCAAGGCAGGCATTGTGGGGTGGTCACTTCCTGGTCCGAGTGTGTGTGGTTGGGGTTGAGGGGGTGGAGCTGCATGCTGCACACGTGGGGACCCCAGGAGTGATGAGCACGTGCTGCAGAGAGGTGACAGCCGGGGGAGACCGCGGAGGGAGTGGTGGCTTTTGCATGTCCTGTTCCTCTTGTGAGGAATGCTTGTCTCAACCTGGCGAATAAATGGAGTACTCGGTATTGCTGGAGAACAGGGCTGGCAGGGAGCGGGGAGGGATGGAGGAGGAGGAGCCTGGCAGGGAGGGTGGGACCTGTGCCCGGTGGGTGACGGCTCTGGTCAGAATTGTGAGGGAAGTCACAGAGCTCTGTGTGTGGCCGGGAGAAGGGCTGTCCAGATGGAGAACTTGGTACTGGCCATCATCAGCCTGAGGACGAGCTGTGTGCCCTGCCCCGGCAGGACTCTGTGCTCCCCGCCTCCTTTCAGCACTGGGAGGCCTGGACAGCTCCCTCAGGACCTGTTCCCCAAAGCCACCCGTGGAGGAGACCCCCGGGGTTCTGACTTTGGAACCACACAGAGCCAGGAGGGGTGAATGCCCTTTATCAGCCGGTGAATATTCATAAGGAACCTACTGTGTATCCAAGGCTCTTTCTAAGGTTCTGATAGATTGAAGAATGTTTGGAAAGTAGCAGAAAGCTTAGCACATAGTAGGTGTTCAATAACTTTCTTCCCCTTCCTGCAGCAAAGGGCCTCCTGCTCATTCACACTGCTAGCACGGTGTCCTTTTGCTCTGTCCTTGTGACCACCTGTCCCACTGAGGAGCTCAGGTGCTGTGATGCCATCGTCCTCGGGGATGCTTTGAGTTTAAAGAGGCCCTAAAACCAGGGTGGGACAGGTGGGTCTCGCTCCTGTCTTTAATTAAGCTTGGTCCACACCCCTTCTGACCGCGGTCACCTCCCCTGGGGAGGGAGCGAAGGGTGCTCCGCCGTCTGCAATCGGGACAGTCCCCTGACCGTGCCTGGGACCCAGGCTGAGCCTGCTGAACACTGGCTGGGTGCTGTGGGGCACACGGGAGGCCTGGCTGTCCTGGATTGGTTGAGGGGTGGACGCAACCGCAGGGCAGTGGGGAGCACACTGGTGCCCTCCCCATCACTGTGTGCTGCGGGCATCACCTTGCAAACCCAGCTCCCGAGTGGCCGCAGGAGCCCTGCCGCAGCGATCCCACAGGAGACGTTGGACCGGGGGAGCGGGTTGGCCGTAATCCGTGTTTAATTTCTCCTGGGCTTCCATTATAAATTCCATAACTCTACCAGTCAAAACATGACTAATTCCTGGGCCCGCAGCCCCCGCCTGGGAGTGGAAGGCCCGAGCTGCTTTTGCTGCTTTTTATCACCGCTAATAAAGGCTCGGCAGTTGGAATTTAGCTGCTCTGGGTGGTTCCCACTCCGGGGCTGCTATAGAATAAATGCTGGCTTGCTGGGCTCACCCTATGATATTCCTGGCCTCCAATTTGTAGATTTGGGGGCAGTTTGCAGCCAAGGAACGGTAGGCCTTTGATGATTCTGACCAGGGTGGGACGCTGCATGATTTATGGAGAAATGAATGGGTTGGTTGAAGGTAAACAGCCGGATTGAATGTGTGATGTGGAGCCTGCAGACGAGAACGGGATGTGTGTTCCAGGCGCCTTCCCTCGTCCAGTTGGCATAACGGTCATTGGCGATCATGCTGTGCGGGCAGTGAAGCGTGCAGATCGGGGCTCACCCTGCAGGCTGTGCATCCCTGGGCAGGTTGCCTAATGGTTCTGAGCCTCAGTTTCTATATCTGCA